AAGGCCCGCCACTACATGGACTTAATGGCTAGGGCCTATCCCCCGTTAGCTCGCCGTCGACAGCAGGCCGTAGATCGGACACATCAACGGCAGATCCGTGACTACGAGAATCGACACGCGTCCGCGGGACCACTGCCCCGCTATAAAGTTGGGGACTTGGTGCAGGTACGGAAATCTGCGTGCTCGTCCAAGATCCACCCGCGCTACACAGACATTTACGAGGTCACGAAAGTTGGAGCACAGGGGCAGCACTCTGTGAAGCTGATTCCCCGTCACAACTCCCAGGCCCGACCGCTGACACGGCACGCTGCCGCGCTCCGGCCCTTCCAGCCATCGCTAGGTCCCCTATGGACCCCCGCTCCGGCGAGGTCACCCTCTCTTTCTTCATCCTCCTCCTCTTCCCAATCTGCCTCGTCCATAGGTGCTGAGAGTTTCAGGGAGCAGGATGAACCCGCCAGCCGGAGCATGAGCCCCTCGAGCATTTCCAGACGCCGCTTGCAGATCGCCTGTTGCGGCATCGGTTCAATGAGGAAAGGCAGTCGCGGTACGACATTCAGCAGGTGAACGTGCCGGCGCCCGGGGTTGCTGATTTGGCGGCGTACTCGTTGCTTTGCGATCGTCTGACGTATGCGGGGGTGTACGTGGATGTGACGCAGTTGCCTGGTCGGGAGACGACCCGAGTCTTCATTGAGTTCCGCGCGCTCCAGGTGGCACCCAGCTTCGTGCACAGGGTCGCCACCTTTATCGGAAACTTGACGATCCTACCGAGCCGAATTGGGAGCCGGCAGGAAGCTTTGTGCGCGAATACGTGGTGGAAGCGGCCAGATCAGTGGCCAGATTGCAAGGACGGGGGGGACACCGATTCACAGCCCACGAAGTGCTGCTGCGCAGGGCAGAGGACAGACCAATTGCGTTGGTGCCACAACTCCCCGGGCTTCTTCCTCCCGCTGCTCCTCTCAACTTTCAAGCCATTCCCCCTGTCCCGTACTGAATGCCTCCCTTCTTCTCTTACACCACCCTCCCCTATCAGCTCACGGAGGGCCCTTATCCCATGCGCGAGTTCTCGGAGTATTTGGTGGAGCTTACTTACGTAGAGCCGCTGCCCTTCGCCAACGAAGACGCGTGGGAGTTGCAGCGTGCGCTGTACAAGTTGGTGGCGCTGGGGATGTTCCGGTTCTTCGTGGATCACGAAGACCACTGCATCGGGGAGCACTTCGTCGTCTACTTCGTCATCACACGGCCCAAGCCAGCGGAGAAGGACGGGACGGTGGCGTTGTACCCATTCGCCCAGCTCCAGACAATCGATCCGGGATTGTTGGAGCTCATACATCTTGAGCTCCTCTCCATTGCGCAAGTGATCGCGAGCGAGGAGGAGGAGATCCAACCACGATTGCGGACGGTGACGGCCCCGCGGAGAACGTACAACGCGGTCGTCATCCCGGATTACATTGCGCAGCGCGCGGAGAGGTTGGAGGACTTCCCGGAGGAAAAACCGTTGCGACCTCCCTCGTCGTATCTACGACCGGCGCCACCGAAGGCCCCCAAGAAGACGCCGAAGATGAAGAGACGCCACCCGTCGCCAAGAGCGCAAGGCAGCAGGATCGGCGGCGGCGAGGAGGTGATTCAGCCCGCTCGTACGCGAAATCCTGACCCCGTGCCTGGGAGTGCGGCGACGCTCGTTAAGGAGATTGTCGCGCCATCGCCGCCCTTTCCGCGTGTGCCCGATCTCAATCTTGATGGAGCCGGGCCATCATCATCATCAGCGGCCGAAGGAGGAAGCCGAATGGGATTTTCGGATCCCATATCCAGACCCCCCGTCCTCGCGGGACCTCTCCGTTCCCGCCAGCCACCCCGGGGTGCCCCGGTCATTGACATTAGTAGTTCCTCCGAGCCGGACGGTCCATCCGACAGAGGTGGACTTCATGGTGGAGCCCGCCACCATTGGGCTCGAGGCCATCACGGGGGCGCCGCGCCCTGATCCGGCCTAGGAGCCATATCTGACACCCCCTTTTCAAGGGTGTATTGTGGCGCGACTGATTGGGACGCTCATCTACGAGACCGGCCAGCGTCCCAATGTGATGTACCACTTCCTGGTCTTCGCGGCGCAGAAGCGGGAGCGGCGGCCTTACACCGAGACTCATGTGGTGATGACGGGTCCAGGGCCCCGATCGGTGCGCAAGCGGGTGGTGCGAGCGGTGGCGGATCTGGCGCCACGTGTCCTGTCTCATGTGCCAAGGGCCTTCCTCTATCCCTCGTTCGTCCAGCACCACTTCCAGGAGGAAGATGCGGCAACGACTCCTGCGGCAATGGCCGCTTTTCTTCTACCTATTCCGCCCCCTCTCAATCCCGACATCGATCACTTCCTCTGATCACCCCCGTCTACCTCTCCCCTGTTCTCTCCTTCTCCTTCGCTTTATCGTCTTCTTCTCCTATCTCCAAAGTTCGCGCGTCGAGAC